TATATATATATATATATTATAATATAAGTGAGTATATAATGCAATCAAAATTTCATATTTTACAAATCTAAAGCCTATAATGTAGCCTAATGCAATGAAAAATACAGTCAATGGAAAGAGGAAATAGAAAACGGATTATAATCTGTCAGAAATCATGTATTTTAGTATACAGTTTCTGAATAATTGAAATCTGTTATTCCCTGTACCTATTGAACATCTGTGCTTTTCAATTGTGCATTAGACTTTATATTTTTATTTCTTACATATTCTATAAAATTATTTTTTTTTGTTCTAAATACAAAAAATATTCCTTTTTACTTTTTAAATTTTTTATCGTTTATGATTAAATTTTTATAATAGTCTCTATTCCGATTTAATTATTTGTTAAGTGATAAAAATTTTTAATATTAAAATTGTTTTAAGCTATCGAACCGATTATGAATATGATCGTGGAGGATTGGGTAAAATTGAAAAATACAGAAGAGAGAAGTATAATGATCCGTAGAGCACAGAGTGCACGTATAATTATTACATTCGCATACTGCATAATGGGAATAGGATGCTTTTTTCTTATCGTTCTACCTAGCTTTGGAATATCAATGAGAGACACTACCAACATTACTGACCCAGGCAGACCAATGCCTCTACAAACTTATTACATTTACGATGTAACAAAAAGTCCACAATACGAACTGACATTTATTAGTCAATCTATTTATATCATTATTGCCATGATGTCTTATAGTGGAATCGATAATTTTCTCGGGCTGTTGGTTTTCCATATATGTGGTCAATTAGATATTCTGAAGAATCGTTTAACAAATTTGGATAAATGTAAAAATTCTCATAAAATACTAAATAATTGTATAACAAGACACAGACGCTTACTTAGGTTTGATCCATATGAAATATATAATCAGTACTTCACCTATATATATATATATATCTAATATACGAATCATTTTTTATAGAGTCATTGACATTATTGAAGATACATATAATGTAATACTTCTCTTTTTATTTGTATATTTTGCCATTCTTTTCGCTTTTTACGGTTTTCGGATAATTACAGTAAGTATTTTTTAATTTATGTAACTAATTTAAATAAAATATGATTTTTAACTTCGAGAAAAATTGAGAAATATAAAAACATACATTTATATTATATCTTATTTTTTCGAATTAATATTTAAAAAAATCATGTCTTTTGTCTTATCCTATAAATTAATTAGTTATTTGATGAAGGAAATAATATATCATTCTCTCACTTGGTATATTTTGCATCCACCGTAATCAATATATTTGCACATATGTGCCTATATTGCGCTCTTGGTGAGATTTTAGTTGCCCAGGTTAGTTGATTATTTCTCTTATTTTTTATAAAAGTCATGTTTTATATCGTATAATTATCTTTATAAATTACTATTATAATTTATGTAAGAAATATTTAATTTATAATGCATTAAATCCAATGTTTGTTACATGTAGAAAATTAGTATTAATTTCTATATTTGTGAATACAAATTAAATTATTGATAACTTTATTTAATTTTTGGGTCAGCTAAACAAAAGTTTTATGAAAGTTCTTAGAACTGACAATACAGATTGATTCTGCAATAGAATAGAAAATAAAAAAAGTTATAATAATAAATAATAAAGTGTTATTAAAATATATTCAATATTCTATAATTAACACTTAATTTATATTTAATTACTAAATAAAATAATAATTTTCGTTTAAAAATACTTTCGATACTTTCAAGTGCAATAAAATATATTACGCAGCGTACACTAAATGGTACATCATGAATTCTAAAGAAACACAAAACTTGTTGATTTTAATGATCAGAGGTTCTAAACCGGTTTATCTTACTGCTGGAAAGGTATTCCCTGTAACAATGGCAACGTTTTGCAGTGTAAGATGTCAATGTTTGACAGTAATTATTGTATTAAAATTAATTTTATATAATTATA